AAACATGTGAAAGCAAAAAAAAAAAAGAAAAACAAAAAATCATAGCATTCACTCTCTTAAGAATGTGAACATGAACAACATGAACAAACATAAAGTTCGTGTCGTAAGATACGTGTAGCACCATTTGGGGACCGCTCTAAAGTTATGGGTCATGAAGTAATATTTCATTATTCGAGGTAAAACTATCTCAATATTCATATTGAATATAATACCTTTTTTGTTCCCTTATAATTGATTTTTTTTATTTGTTAATATTAGGGATACCGTATATATGCTTTTATAAAAAAAATTCACGTGTAGCATTTTAGGCGCCATTTGAATGAAGGAAGTGTTGTTGCAATTAGGATTTAGGGACTTACATCAGCGGTTGGTACAAGACAACAATGGGAAGGTACACAATTGCTTTTCATGGCCGCACTCTCTGAAGATAGATTTTCAAAATTTTCTACAATGTCACGAGCTTTATTGAGTTGGCTAAAGAAACTTTTTCGACTTCATGCTATTGTTTTTTTTATTCGCACTTTATTCAATCTTTTATGTTGTACTATTTGAAGACATTATTGGACGAGTTGTCAATATAATTATTATTTTATGTTTTTCTTAACTTTAAGTGATGTAGGATTTTATTTGAGATTAGTATTCGGGTTGTGGACGTTCATTCAATTTACAAATTTTCATTAGTAATTGTAAATATTAATATATATATATATATATATCCATATTTAGAGACTAATTTAATAGATTAATTTAATTATGGTCATATGTTTTGGATCGTTCAAACTTATTGTAGAAAATTAAACAAAAAATTTCTACAAAGATTCTACTACTTACATATACTTATATTTTTAATTCAATGTATATAAATTTATAATTTACAAATTATATTTTTTTTTATATTTTAATTAATAATTAACTAATCTTATAAATTTATAAAATTGAAGTATATGAAGTTAATTATTTAATTATTTTACATTTGTAGGGAACTGATCTGGATGACACAAAATAATTGATGATGATGAGGTGATCAATGCAAAAAAAAATCCAATTCCCAACGAATCGTCACTGCTGAAATACTTACTCTAGGAGAAAGATGATGATGAGGTGATCAGTCCAATAAATAATCCAATTCACAACAAATCGCCGCCATTGAAATACTATTCTAATAGAAAGTTATTCGGTGAATCGAACTCATAAAAAGAAGAATGCTAAAAATGAAGACAAAGAAAAATCTGCTCAAGGAGAGAACGATATTGAAAAAGATGAAGAGAAGATTGATAATATTAATTTGTGATGATGAAAACAACTCTAAGACATAGGACATTGTATATAAAAAAATGTGCAATAATGTTTTGTTGACATCAAAATAAAATACTTCGATGTTACAATACAATTAAAGAAGTCGCGAAGATTAGTGCATAAATTAGATTCTAGACGACGTCGAGTAATACATTCAGCATCTCGGTAACCATACCTCGGTGCCAATAGGAGATCACGGATATTTGGAAGGTCATCCACACAAGTCGTCAGAACTTCGAAGAAGGCCAATTCGGTCAAAGAATTATTTATTAAGAAGTCGCAGATTATCGGAGATTAATCAAGATGCCGACATCACAAGAAAAACCGACTTCGATCCGACAGATGTGACACTCGTCACATCGATAGAGGCGCGCCCATGCTAATCATTGCCTGCAAGGTTCTCCTACGTCATCGCCGCCCCTAAGATGTCAAATCTTCATTAAAATGGGAATGATTTGTCTAGGGATGTGTGCCAAACATACCTATAAATAGCGGTTCCGAAAACGAGAGAAGGGTTCGAAAACTCATCATATACGCTCTTATATTCACCTCGGATATCTCATCGTAAACCGACTTGAAATTCATAAAAAACCGACCTTCTTGTATTAAAACCGACTTCGAAATATTCAATAAAAGTCTCATTTTCTACAATCTTTTGCGTTAATCTTACATTGTGAACGTTGATCAAATCCGTTTATCAACATTTTGGCGCTAGAAGGAGGGCTTCATAAGATATTTGGAGTTAATTTTCGGAATATACACACCACATATTACAAAATCAAGAATGTCACAATCCGGACAAGACAATCCAACCACCATGGGAAGCGCTGTTCGTGTTGTTGAACCACCAACCGGTCAACACAACCCAATACCAGTTATGCCGGACATTACCCTGCTCATGCAAAATCCGGAATTCGCTCGTGGACTCACTGCTTTGGTGGCCCAAACCCTGCCGGGGCCATCACACAGAGCACCAGGACAACCTTTTGCTCCCATAACTCCGGCGAAACAACCAGGTCTTCCCCTACCAAGGGATAACAATAATCAAGCGGCGTCCCACGCTACTTCACAACCACGCAATCCGCCCCCTCCGCCGGTGAACAACGTACAGCCGGTGGAAATGAATCAACCAGAAATGAATCAACCAGAAATGGTTGCTGAAAGTCACCCTCGACAAGTTGAAAGTTACCCTCAGCATATGCCCAGAGTTCCCCGTGCGGCACGTTCATTATTTCAACCAAACGAGCACCCGGCTGACCTGAGAGCGCAAATTGAGCGTAATCGTTCCGCTCGACGTAACGCTTCCGAAGTCGAGGCGTTAAGAAGAAAGGTGGCAGAGCTTGAAGCCCGGCGAAACACTCAAATCAGACCTTATCAGTATCCTCACGTGCCAGAATCGGGCCATGTTTATATGGAAGTCGGTTCTCCTCTAGCAACCGAGTTAACTAGAGGGCCGTTACCAGGAAAAGTCAAAGTCCCCCAAATTGGTCTCTACGACGGAAACGCGGATCCTGATGCCCACCTCGGGCATTACACGTCATGGATGGACTTGCATGGTGCTGACGATGCTTTACGATGTCGTATGTTTTCCTTAACCTTAGGTCCCAAAGCTCAGAAGTGGTACTATTCGCTACCGCCTGAATCAATCAGGTGTTGGGGCCAACTCAGGTCGGCTTTCAGGTCCCATTTCATCGGGGCTCAAATCAGTTTGATACCTAAGGAATCTATTACGAACATAGTCCAAAAAGAGGATGAAAGTTTAAAGGACTATATTGCACGTTTTAATGAACGCGTGCAAAACATGGAACCTTGTCATCCTGAGACACTTCTTGTCTCAGCAATCTCTGGATTAAAGCCAAGATCCATGTTCCGCTGGGCGCTGTGTCAGAACAAACCCAACACCTTTCAAGAGTTCCTTGTTCGCGCTCAACAACACGTTATTGCTGAAGAATCCATGTCGGTCCCCAACTTTGAATTCTCCTCATCAAAAGAGCAGAAGCCAACTTCTGAAAATAAGAAAAAGAAATACCTCGGTCACTCATCTAAGAATTCACCCCCCAAAGACCCGTATAAAATAGAGCAGAGCGACACCGACATAAAAGCTGCTAGGAGACAATACAAGGAAGATCTAACCGCAGGTTACCGATCCATCTACTCGGTCGGTGCAGCAACAGTGTATCAAGAGATCAAGGGAAAAGGTATCCTTCCTGAAGCCAGACCCGTCAAGACTCCCGAAAGTCAATTGGACAAGTCGCGGTATTGTGATTATCACCGATCTCCAGGTCACAATACCGATGAATGCCTGAGTCTATTGTCGGCTCTCCTAAGGTTGATTGGAAATCCGCAAGTGCGAAAATTTACCAAACATGAAAGCAAAGAAAGGAAACAAATAGCTCATGTTCCTGACCGAGATGAAGATGACGAAGACGTGATGAATCCCAAAAGGATTCGTCTACAACAAGGAGAGAAGGAAATA